ATTATTATTATTTGTGATATTGGGCTATATAAATAAACATTGATTGATTGATTGATTGATTGATTGATTGCTTCTCTCCCCTTTGTATATTGTTATGAGGTCATTATAAGAGAAGTATGGCACTGAATCAAGCCCTCCATGTGCTCATTAAAATGAAGCATCTCTTTGAGGTTAATCTTAAATAGTCAACTGAAGTACCACAAGATTAATACATGAATATTAACCTGAAATATAAAAAAAAAAAAGAAACACAAGTTAACCAATTTCAAGTGATCAGTGCAGCGGCAGTGAAACGCAGGTGTAAGAGCCCCATCCAGTGGTCAGACACACAAAGTGTTGGTAATAATATAATACTATTATTCATTCAATGCTTTCGACAATAGTACACCAAATGTTTTCGACAACAACATCATATGTCAAAGTGAAATAACTTTTAAAGTTGAAAACTTGACAGTTAAATATGAAAAAATATGTTTTTCAGCAGGGACTATTGCCATGTGTTATGACTTACTGTAAATTATAGCAGTATAGTTTAAGAAGAAACAAATACTGTTATAACAATAGTCACATTTTCAAGTTTAACTTTGAAATGCATTCATATTCTACAAATGCAGTCACTTAAAAGAGATAGAATACATACACATGGTTAATGATCAGCTGTGTGACGTTTATTTTTATGCAAAGTTGAAATAGGAAAATATTACAAAAGCAGGCAGAAAGATATACCCTGAAGCTATTTGACTGCATGGCTAGTGTGAAATACCCCCCAATATAAAGTTGTTTCACCCACAGCAGCCTGAGTTTGCCACATCAACTGTAGGCTGTACATTAACATGTGATGCCCAAATGTAAATACATCTGATTCCAATACATCTCTAACACCGACTCACATGGGACTTTGAATGGGGTCTTAATTCTTCTCAGGTTAGATGAGGTAACACTCACTTACAGCATCATGCTAACCAACATGGCAACAACATTGTCTACTCTACCCTTAACAGAACGTGAGAGAAGTGGGTCATTGTGGGGAAACATGGCCCCTCACTGCTGCCAAACGGTGTAAAACCTGAAGTGACCTCTTGTAATTCAATTTGCCTGGACAGGAGGAATAGGTTAGTTTTATACGGTTTCTGACCAGGCTGTGTTCCACATTGTCTGGCACCTCGAATAACCTTGTCTTTGATCATGCCGAGGCTTATGAATCCCTGCTGTGAGCCTTTTTTTCATTGCTGTAGGCGAACTACTTGGTAAAGGATAAAAGTAGAAAATGTAGCCTTGCTGGTTATTTTTACCTGGAGAACATTTAACACTTCACTCTCCGATGGCAGGAGATTTACTTGATGAAATTACAATGGCAGAGTGTGACAAATTTTTTATTATCCTCATAACTTTTGCAGAGGGTCATGGCTGAGGATGATCATTATTTGTCTATGTTGTGGTTGTAACGTGTTAAAAGAGGTAAAGGGATCTATGTAAAAGGTGTCCGAATGTGCAATAAACGTGAGACAAAAATGTAATCTGATGGAACTGGATCCTTAAGGGTGATGGCCACATTTACAATCTAAAGGGATATTTTGCTTGTTTTAATTGCATGTCATGCTTGGACTCAACATGACCTTAATTGTATTTCTGGTACTTGTGAATGCAGCTAATTTTCTTTTGGCCTGTGGGTTCCTTTGCACCCCTCTGAGATTCACTATCTTATTATAGTGAAGGAGTTTCCATGCCCCTGTGGTCATGGGAGTCAGAGGCAACAGCTCCTTTTAAGTTCTCTGAAAGCAAATTGGTCCCAGGTGAGGGCCTGACTACAAGAATACTGTATTTGGAAAAAAGGTTAACTTAGGGCTAGGCATACTGGGACCCCCTCTCAGTGCCCGGGCCAGGCAGACAGAGGGCATCGCCTGTGGACTCTATATTTGTGCTTAGGGACTATTGCACTTATGTGGGGGATGATTTGACTACAAAACGTGAAATTGAATGATTTTGATTAATGATCTGATTTTGACATGAATGGTGTTTCAAACTATGATCTGGACTTTTTTAAACAAATTAATATTCGTGTGAACATTGACCTTTGAGTCTTAACCTTTGAATCAATTTACTTTCTGTAAGAACAAATCTGTCTTTTTTTATTAAATGTGAAATCAAAATATAGCGTTTTCAATCCCCCTTAGTTATTGTTGAGTGGTGAACACTAGAGGGCGTCAGAGTATCTTTCAACTTTATTAGATCAGACATAAATTATCTTGACCTTAACCTCATAAAAGCACAACCGCCATTTGTAGTTTTAGATGCTAGTTGGTTTTTCTATATGTAGTTATTAGTTTATTAGTTAAATAACGTCCTGTTTTGCAAGATTTGATCTTTAAACATAGTAACACAAACTGGGGTTGACCATGTTTAATGCAGCTGTGGCTCTGATGCCTCTGTTAAGATCATACAGTGATGCAACCCGGATCTCTCTCCAACTGCAGCCTTTCCGCTCTCTTGACCTTTGACCCCAGAGCCATATCCTAATTTGTATTGACACATTAATCTGAAATGATGTGCGTGTTGTGGCACCTGGTGCCTGCCATGAAAAATAATGGACACACCCACACACGCTGCCTGTCAGTGGGTTTAAAGACAAATGGGTTCTTTTTCAAATCTCCTGATGCCTGTCCAAAGATGGTCTTTGCTTCTGAATTATGATGAGGGTCCATGTGGCACCTTAGAAAGGCCTCTTTAGTAAATACAAGCCATGACTAGAGCCTCAGGGTGGACTTGTTTTACCTTGTATGTAGTTTCTTAATATCCTTTGCAAATACAAAAATCATAAAATGCAGATATTGCCAATTGTAAAATTCAGAGAGCATTAGGGTCAATTATATCTGATTTATATAAATGTAGAAGTACCAGGGTCAAAGCATTCCTTACATCTCTTTAAATGAGTAGCCTGTATTCATAAGGCATGTGATTTTGGATTAAAACTACCAGATCTTTGAAAATGATCACATTCTTAGCATTGTTTCCTTAAGAGTGGATTGTTTTGGTAAGTGATTTCATATAAATGCCTAAGGGAGACTTATTCCCCAAATCCCTTGTAAACTGCATTATATTAGTAGCTTAGCAAAAGAACAGAAAGAAAAGAGTCAGAGGAGGCTTAAGCCTTATCGCCTACCACCTTGTTGTTTTTAATTTAGAGAGAGGGATTCTTGTCATTGAGGGATTTTCTGCTTTGTCATTCTGTACAGGATTTCCCTTTGCCGGGGGAAGAGCATTTCCTATTTTCTTTCTGCAGTGACTTCCTCCCTCAGAGGCTGCTCAAACAATACATCAGACACAGCTGGCTTTCAGTTTGAAACATTCCTAAGATGTTGCTGGAAACCCATTAGTGGTATTTATAAAAACATGAATGAAATGAGAAAATCAAAGAAAGATTGAATACATTATTAAAACATTGGAGAATAAACAGATGAGGTCACTTACATTATTCAGTTCCCATTAACTCAATACCCACACAATATGTTATAATGTACAAAAAGAGTCAGTCCACAACAAATACAGGAAAGCACCTGACACATCCTGTCTTTTAATGTTTGGAAACTCATTTGTCTGATTTATTCATCTTTATGCGCAATGATTTTTGTATTTTCTTGTTCTATTTAAACTGAGTGGATTTAGATTACGTTTAATATTGTTAGTTTGTATGGACGCCAAAGACTAGCAGACACTTTTTTCGGCGTAAATGTACATCCAATTGAAGTATTAGTGAATATAAAGATTACATCAATTGAAAACTGTTTTTTTTTCTGATGTTGTCAACAGTTTGTTCACATTATCGTATTTGTAAAATAAATCAGGGTTAAAGTGATTTGTATTAAATATAAAACGTTTAGATGTACAAAACACTGGCTTTGTCATTTACTATTTAAATGTTATAGTGAAAAATAGACCTACAGTATGGGCCTTTAAAAATAATCAGGTCCCTGATAGGTGCTTCTAAAATGTGGCAAAGACTTATTAGTTTCTGTTGCACTGGCTTCAAGAATTAGGCTACTGTCGTTGAAAAGTGGGTTAACTCGTCTCCAGTCTGCATGGAACCAGGCTTGCCCTGCTTTCTTGACAAGCCGCTGTGACAGTGGCTCAGGTCCGCGCTGTGCTAGGCCAGGTGGTGACGCATTTATTTAAGATCCTGGCAGGGGGTGGTGGTGAGTTTACCCGGTTGACCAGGTGGTGGGCAAAACTGGCATCACCCTCTTTAATCCAGGCTCACTATTTGGCAGAAATAGAGAGACCTGTTTATTCTTTGCTGCACTCTGCAAAATAACCAAACTGAATTAATGTCCTAATACATAACTGTCTCTCTGTAAATATTGTACAATGTGTATGTTATATTCATAAACATGGTGTGACTATTTAAGTCTGCAATCTAGCAACCTTTCAATCTCTGAATGCAATCCATGGCTGTCATATCAACTGATAGTTTAAAGCTTTACAAAATAAATAAAGGGAATACAATTAGTTGTGTTTAGCTCGTTGTATGACACAGGCTCAATCAGAATCAGAAACAGATACAAAAAAAACCATAATTTATAAAAAAAATCTCTGATAAATAATAATCAGTTTATTAAAAATATTTCTTCAAAAAAGATTTAACTTTGCAGTTATCAATTGAATCATTCAAACAAATAGTGAAAGTGTCTGACAAATGAACGAATTTAACATCAATATAGGTTGTAATCCTCCTATTTTGTAAAATACAATATAACTTAGTTTACCAGTATTACTTTCAAGGTGTTTTGGCCTTTACTTTAAGCGTTTTTCTCACATTTTGAAGAAACACTTTCTATGTTCTTACAGTTTGAAAACAATAGGCTAAACTTTTGTTTTCATGTGAATTTATTATCAGAACAATAGAGAGCATTAGGACCCTGAGCCTCAGGGGGAAGCCCCCCTCTCTTTATCCACTGATCTGACAGCCTGAGCTCGTAGCCAGTCAGAGGCAGGATGAGAGCTAAAGAAGGAGGCGGCTTGCGGTGTTTTTTGCGGTGCGCCGAAGTTTAACAACATTTGCTGCGTTGTTTGAAAACCTACCTGCAGGTCCTCTGCAATGCCTGTCAAACACAGCAGATCTTTATTCGACACATTTTCAACCGGATAACCCCGATCTGGCGTTTGGATTACTACTTTAGTTATTGTAAATCAATTCATTGTTTCTTTTTTTTTGGGAGCTATTTTTTTTATAGCGTTTGGACTTGTCTCAAGTAACGGGTGCAGTCACACAGTGTCCCCACAACAGCTGACTGGAGTCGCAGACAGGAGACGCACGCGTGTATCCTCCTTCTGGTTGGGATTTATTTTAAAACAGGAAGACTGAAAGCTGGTCAACATGTCGCTAAGCAGATGTATTGAATTTGAACACTTTGAGGAACGAGAGAAGCCTCACCGGACACCGAGGACTAACTCTGGCTCCGGGTCCCAGTCCGGCTCCAGAGGGAACGGGGTGGTCCCCAGCCCAGCGAACAGTGCGCACTGTAGCTTCTACCGGACCCGCACCCTCCAGTCCCTCACCTCCGAGAAAAAAGCCAGAAAAGTGCGGTTTTATCGCAATGGGGACAGATATTTTAAGGGTTTGGTGTATGCCATATCTAGCGACAGGTTCCGGTCCATGGATGCTCTGCTCATGGAGCTCACAAGGTCTCTGTCGGACAATGTCAACCTTCCTCAAGGAGTCCGGACCTTATACGCTTTGGATGGAGGCAAGAGGATCACCAGTCTGGATGAGTTAGTAGAGGGTAAGGGTGATAATGGACCTTATGTGAACACCAATCATGAAAAGGGCCAATACTTTATATTGATGATAGATAGAGTGCATTGATTCAGTCATTACATTGATTTGTATAAAAGCTCAGTTTGCCTTGAGCACTGGCTAAATGGTCCATGCACACTGATCAATGTAGCTCCAGGGAAATTATGCCAACATTTTCACAAGTCACTTTTAGAACATATTCACATGGGCTGACCCCCGAATGGCTCTTGATGCTGTTTACTTTGCGAATTGGATGGCACAACTTTCCTGCAAATGGCTGAACATATATGTTCAGCCATTTGCAGGAAAGTTGTGCCAGACAAAGTGTAGTTGTGTGCTCCTCTAGTTCTATTGTAACTAAATCTACCAAATTACCTCTGAAGGACATTACAGTATAATGGATGCAGTGCAGAGCTCCCCTTGCATCATTTGCATCATTGACATAACTGTTCTGACATATTTGACCCAGTGTCGTGCATGCAGACAAGCAGACCCCTCCTCAGTGCAGCTTTAGTTCTGCACAGGCTGCTAATGCCTTCATTGATCTCAGCTGGACTCTTTCACTCTCTCCCCTTATTAGTTTGTAGTGAGCTGAGTTTGTGCTGGTTTGCAAATGTCTTGTGTAGCTCTAAGTGCAATCCTGCCTGGGAACGAATGTGTGATGGATGTGGTGCAGGGTCCATTGGATGCTCTCTTAAATTGATCTCACCCTTGGGGCTTGAAAGATGGAAGTTTCCCTCCCCCATCCAGTTTGTTTGTTGAACTGTATAGGGGCGATATAATGGCTTTTAATTCCGGAAATGTGAGAACAATTTTGGAAAATCGGTTAAGTCAAGTTTATAAAGTTAAATGATCGAGTCATTAGTAGCCTAGAAGTGTTCAGTTCAGTCATTTTGGTGAGGAACTGCAGGACTGACATTACTCCCTAAACACATTAAGTTTAGTGCATTAGCAGACAAGTTATCTATACTATTTTACAGATTCACACTGCTGACAGTCTTCTCCTTCCCTTTCCCTTTCGTGCAGTGTGATTCAGTGGGACAGGCTGTGGCCTCTCAGTAATAAGATAATCTTCGTGTGTGTGTGTGTGTGTGTGTGTGTGTGTGTGTGTGTGTGTGTGTGTGTGTGTGTGTGTGTGTGTGTGTGTGTGTGTGTGTGTGTGTGTGTGTGTGTGTGTGGTGTGTGTGTGGTGTGTGTGTGTGTGTGTGTGTGTTGTGTGTGTGTGTGTGTGTGTGTGTGTGTGTGTGTGTGTGTGTGTGTGTGTGTGTGTGTGTGTGTGTGTGTGTGTGTGTGTGTGTGTGTGTGTGTGTGTGTGTGTGTGTGTGTGTGTGTGTGTGTGTGTGTGTGCACGCGCACGCACACGCGCACGCACTGTGACCTGCTGCAATCCTCTTTTAACAGGAGAGGTCACGGCTCTGCCACACACACTCAGGATCCACAGACGTCTTACTACAGTCATTATTCTTGTATACTCGTCTATTTTCACACACATCCTTATAAAACTTGAACTTGATTTCCTATGCCCCCTCTCCTGAATGACTGGAAGATTTAGGCCAGAGCCTGATCTACATTACATTACATTACATTACATTGCATTTAGCTGACGCTTTTATCCAAAGCGACTTACAATAAGTGCATTCGACCAGGAAGACACAACCTTGAAGAAAACAGAATCATATAAGTACATCAGGTTTCATAGAGCCAAACATTTCAAGTGCTACTCAACTGGCTTTAGGTAAGCCAGTCCTTTATTAGTATATAAGTGCTTTGTTAATAAATCTATCGCTCGAAGTGGAGTCGAAAGAGATGTGTTTTCAGTTTGCGCCGGAAGATGTGCAAGCTATCTGCCGTCCTGATGTCAATGGGGAGCTCATTCCACCATCTTGGAGCCAGGACAGCAAACCCACGTGTTTTTGCTGATGGGAACTTGGGTCCCCCTCGCAGCGAGGGTGCAGCGAGTCGTTTGGCTGATGCAGAGCGTAGTGCACGTACGGTTTAACCATGTCCTGGATGTACGAAGGGCCAGATCCATTCGCAGCACGGTAAGCAAGTACCAGTGTCTTGAAGTGGATTCTAGCAGTTACCGGAAGCCAGTGAAGGGAGCGGAGGCGCGGAGTGGTGTGGGAGAATTTAGGAAGGTTGAAGACCAGACGAGCCGCTGCATTCTGGATGAGCTGCAGAGGTCGGATGGCACATAAATTCTGTAGCTTCACTAGTTTGGCAATTTGAGCAAAAGTAGTTTTGGTGCATTGGCAGTCTGCCACTGCACCTCTGCACTTAATGTGCAGGAAACTCTTGTGAAATGAGGATCCTGGGCATACATGCATTACTAGTTGTGTTTCATTTATTCTGGATGTAAAGTGTTTGGAGACTTTTTTATTTTTGATACATGGTGTTCACATCATCACCCAAGTTTTGGAAAGGAAAAAAACTCAAACAGATAATCCAACATAATGATAAAAAAACTTCTCTATCCAAGAATTGAATGTCTCACATCAGCCGGTCCAACATCCAAGGTGATTGAAAAACCAATTTAACCGCACACAACCGTCTCAGTTCTTCTGAAAACTTGGTCATAAACATTGGAATTCTTTCCCATCCCTACAATCCAATCCATATGGACACAGCATGAGTGAACCTGGTCCTTCTGAAGAACCCTGATGGGGGTGTTTCCATGGTCCCTTTTCCAATTAATTCACATTCATATTGAGTTTTAGAATTAGATTTTTTTAAATACTGTGAGCCCCTTTACTAAACTTTGTTCAATCTATTTGTATTGTGATAATGGCCAAAGAAGTCAATTAAGACAACTAAAAAACACAGCAAATTAGCCAACTATTTACATGGCTTGATACCTTGAGGGGCAAGTGGGAACGTTTTTTTATGACTTAGGTAAAATCAGATGTGAGACAGCTCAGCAGTCTGCCTCCATAGATTGAGGCCTGCTGGGGTTCTTTTGTGTAAAAACCCAATAAGCACCATTTGCATGTGTCCCCTCTGGCTGGATGGGTTTATTAAACCCACAGTTTACCACAGTCAGCTCTTAGGGAGCCGTGCCAAGAGCAACCGGGAGAAGTCGACTGGCCAGGTGGGAGTGTTCTGCTGATAGCACAGCAAGGTCGAGTTGTTTACCTTTGTCACGTGTTGGAGGTTTGTTAGAAACGTTAGTAAGTGCCGGCAGCCCTTTTCAGCTCATTGTGGCTGTTTGTCCTTCCCAGAATATTTAAAACTGATCTGCTTTCCAAATAGTGCTACATTGGTCAATATGCAGTTCTTTAAACCTGTATGTATTGAAGAATAGCACCGCTAAGCTCTGCCAACTTGGTGACACACACATTGAATTTCCTTTAACTTATTCACATTAAAAGCATCCTGGTTTTGGTTTTGGTTCTAATAAGGTTCACATCAGCACTTGCCTTACACAGCTTGGAAACGACTGAAGGCATCAGTAAAAAGTTAATTAGGCTAATATCTAAAACTATAAATGGGAATACAGTTGTAAAACTAAACTCTCCACCCCAGAGGTTTGATAGAAGCTAAAAAAGTACAGAAATCTTAAGAGATACTTTTATACCTACAATAAAAGGAAATGATGTGTTTATTGTCTGGATAAATCACCGTTTTTCTTAAAACATTGAAATCTTGTGAATGAACAAGACTTGTTTTGTATTTGCCTGGAGACCTTCCGTTTTAAACAATTTAGGTTTTAATTATCTGTGGTTAATAAATTCACAGTTTTAGGAGCCGCTCAGTCTTGAATATTTTTAAATGCCTAATTTGTTGCAGCTTTTGGGGTATGGCTCAAGGCTAACACTGCTGAGCTGCATCACTAATGTATGCTTGATTGAAAGGGATTTCTTGGATAAAAGAACTAACTAGACATTGACATATTTGACATTATTTGAATAAGCTAAGCAACAGATTGGGACCATCCCCCCAAACCCCTCTGTAAGATGGGCCATTTAGTATGTTCAACTAAAATAAGTAGTCAGCAGCTCACCATACTTGTCCAATTCCTTTTACTAGAGTGGTGAATATTAAGTCAGTAAAACAAAACAGAAGGCCATACATTCTGAGAATATCATTGGATCATAGGGTCACTATATTAAGACAAATGTATGTCGTCTTAATATAACCCCTTTTTTATGATTCCCATTCACTGCCATTGCTCTGGTTTTGGTTTGTTGACAGATGTGAGACCACTGCATTAAAGCTGCTGGACATGTTAAACAGCTCTGTTAAAGCTGAGCTCATCTGTGGTCCACATGAGGACAGCAGCCAGTGGCGGCTGGTTGGGGCTCCCTCACATCACTGGGGGATGTAGCACCTGAGACCTCTGCACCTCGGAGAATAGCCTGTCACCAGTTCTGAGGTCGTTCCAGCATCCTGTCATTGTCCCCCCAATGAATGACACCCCCAGTTATATTTTGTTTTAGTTTTCAGCCAAAGCTCAATCTCTCCAGCTGTGGCCTTGCATTTTAATTAGCCTTTGGTTAATTGCGAGCTTAATAAGACCAGGTATCGTGGGACGCACTGTCTCAACTGGCCTTCTTTCACTGCAGCTCGCTTCTTTTGTCTTGACATTAGTTGGATAACTAAAATGGTATACTTCGGATTTGACACTGTTTGTAGAAACGGGTGTTTAGTAAAAGATAATACAACTTTCAAGAACAATTCTTAACACTGTCCCACAAACTTTTTTAAGGTGTATACTAGTACATTTCAGAGGTTGGTCCACTTATAGGATTATACATTATTCAGCTTAATCCAGCCTGTGTTTCAGTGCTATGCAGTTTATACAAATGACTTTCAGACATTTTACCAAGCTATGGTTTTTCAGTTTCTCAATGTGTGCCTGCTATTTTGCTCCTTAACATTTTTGATGAGAAATATTTATCCTCTAGCCCTTTAAATATCTTCACTGATATAAACCGTGGATATTTGCTAGAACATGAGTATCTTGTACGCTTAGTGAAGTGTCTGTTAAGCAGAAGTTTATTCTCAGAGACAACCATGTTGTGTGGTAAATACTTTTGTGATGAAGGTAGCATGAACAGAAATGATTTTGTCTTACTCGGAGTGGAACATCATTGAGTTTCTCATACAACACTCAGCCTTCAAAACAATCACCAGACATTCCTCCATGTTTCGGCCCTGTACTCGTCACATTACTTTGTTCTTAAGGGGAAACATTTGCTTGTTAAAACGTGGAATGTAAGGCTGGCAGATAAAACAAAGTGCTTTGCATTGGATGAAGGCCAACGCAGCAGCTCGGCAGCTGAAGGGGAGAGAGGACAGTGGTGCTGGCCCGGCCTCTCAATGCGCCTTACTGTTTCTACTGAGGAATGTTAACTCTTTGTTGTCCCTCTGACTCCCATATGGCACGTGGACATGGTATTTTATGTTGCATAATGCATATGCATACCCAACATGTCAGATTAATTCTGATCCAAAGTATGTGCAGTATGTGTGTGGGATCTTTCCAACATAGTAAATAGTGCTCGGCAGTATACCAATATAAGATATTAGGATAAATGACTGGTTATTGTGTTTTGGATATCTCTTTATGGCCTAAATGTTGTATTTTTCTGGTTTTATAGGAAACAGTGTAGTAAAGTGATGTAGTTTTATAATTTTATATGATCTGTTTTGACTAATTTAGTGATCAAAATGACTCGATGATTTATTATATCTCATTGTGTAAATATTTTATGAAAGCACTTACAGTATAGTTAACATAAACATATTGTTGCAATATCATTATCCAGATATTGGGTCAAAATATTGTGGTATTTGAAGACAAGAGATCAACTCTACCACCTTCTTTCTTCCCTCAGGTGAGAGTTATGTGTGTGCCTCAAACGAGCCCTTCAGACGAGTGGACTACAACAAGAACGTTAACCCTAACTGGGCCGTGGGCAGCAAAACGGGCACATCGCGCTCCCTCTCCTGTCTCCTCCCGTCCAAGAGCGAGCTGCAGCGTGAGTCCAAGGACTTCATCAAACCCAAACTAGTCACAGTCATCCGCAGCGGAGTGAAACCCCGCAAAGCAGTGCGGGTGCTGCTCAACAAGAAGACGGCTCACTCCTTTGATCAGGTGCTCACTGACATCACAGACGCTATCAAGCTGGACTCTGGAGCTGTGAGGAGGCTGTACACTTTGGAGGGCAAGCAGGTGAGTCTCTTACAATGCATGCTTGGTTTAGTTTAAATTATTATTGCAGCTTTTGTAATCACCAAACTCATGGAAAAACAAGTTATTCTTTCTTGCCAATATCGATGAAGTCATTGACAGTTGGAAGGAGTTGTGTTTTCAGTGAGGTGAAATTGGATAGGGTGCATATGAAAACCAGATGGAGCAGCTGAGCTTTTTAGCCAAAGGTTTCATCTCCAAAAAGTGCTGTGATTTATAGGTTTCAGCTGTGTCAGCAGTCTAGGTAATTACCCCCCATTTAATCATCCATACATAATTACACGCCACGATTATTTCAACAAGGCACTAATGAATACACTTACGTTTTGCTATATCCATCAGTACAGTTTCCTCAATACCTTGCCATCCCATTAAGCCATTGAGACTGTTTTTACTATAAGCCTATCCACCTGGGACTCATATATAGTATTATTTACATCTGAGATTCTCATTTAGGGTCCCTGGTGTCATGAGATGAGGTGAGTTTGAACACATGGTGCCCCTAATTCAAAAGATTGATATGATGCTGTCTCATCTGGATAGTCGGATAGATAAATGGGCAAAGCTGTTTAATGTAAGTAACCAAACAAAAGTACTGGGTCAAAATAAACTGGAAATGAAGGAGCTTGTATGCAAACACTTGGTAACCTTAAGGAGGTATTAAGGCTTGTTTGAGACTTCAGGGGATGAACGTGTCCATGGGTCTGACAGAATCACATTTATAAAATGTATGTGATTTGATGCACATTTATATGATTTTCCCCAGTAGTTAAACACATATTTTAATAAATACCAAGCTTATTGAATTGTTGTTATTCCTCCATTATTCAGATAATAGAATAACAGCTGTACTCAAGACTTCACATTAGATTAAAATGGTAAATAATGTCAGGGATTGATATGGTCAAAACAAGGTACTAAAACAAAAAATGTCCAATGATATGCTTTGTCCACAGCTGCACACAGTTATGTTTCTTGTGAGAATCTTATTTGATTCTCCAGTGATTATTTCAGTCCCATATCTGTCACATAAAGCATTTATCTTTCAATTTCCATCTGTAGTAAATACCAACTCGATCAGCTGTGCAGACCAGCTGTTCTTCCCAGCCATTTCACACCCTGTAATGCTATGAAGAAAGTTTCATTGGACTTTACAAAGTACATTCAAGTAAATGTTACTATGGTACCTAGGATACATTTTTATTGTAAACTGTATCATACTAGCTTTTCCATTATTTCCCTATGTTGTGAGTTTCCAATTCATTTGTGGCCAAAAAGGTTAGCATATTATTAGACAGATTGAGAGGAAGCACCCTTTCTGTAACTGCATTGTTTTCATAAATCAAATTTTAAGAATAGCTCCACTATTCTTGAATTTTTAAAGTAATATCCTGTACCTAAATGGTGCCTTAACGTATAAAGTGACAAGAAAGTATTATTAGGTTAGACTGTGTTTTAATAATCAAATATGTTCTAGTTTTTCAGCTGTCACTTTAGCTGAATCAGCCATTTAGAGCTTTAACCAGTAGCCGTAGCTGCCTTTGGAAAGGCAGTGAGTGTGTTTGTGCCATTATGTATGATTCACTACTTTAAAAACTGGCTCTTTGCTTTAGAATCGTTTGACTCTCTTGGCTTCAACAGGAGTGTCTCAGAATTAAATTAAGAGTGTGATTTAGAGGTTTAACCCATTAAGCCTGTAACGTGATCCAGACACCAGAGCTTGACTCCTGACAGTATCCCGTCTATGATAGTATCAGTCAATTCAGTCAGTAGATGTTTTATTTAACAAGGGCTGAGGCTTTTAGATAGCCAGTGACAAAATAAATTGTTATATCTGACAACATAATCTTTACTGTATTTTTCCGTATTGCCTTCTTAGAGAATTGAATGGGAACACATTAGCTTCTGCCCCCCTCAGCTTGAAGAGGAGCTAACAGTCTCCTAAACTTAACTTGTCTCAATAATCTGACAGCTTGACTGTTTGGATGTCTCTGTCATGAATCCTCTCTACTGATAAGCCTCTTTTCACAGCCTTTGTGGTGCCATACTGGTGGCTTGAAGCCTCTTTCCCACATACATAGTCGCTATCCTGTAAAAATCATGTATGTCCAAAAAACATCAACTTTTCATGAGCTAAGAAAAGCTTTGTTACAATGCAAAACAAATAGGATAATTTTCCATTAAATTCAGAGTTAGATGGGTTTCACTTGCAAGCAAAGACATCCATCTCATAAATATGTGTTCTTATACAACAAATGGAACAGTGTTTAAAAAAACAAACAAAATCAAATACATTGGTTGTTTTAAAGAAGGGCGTTTTCTAGTGTCAGTTCCTTTGAAAGAACACTGGCGTTTTGGGGGGTCAGACCAAGTCAGACTGGAAGATCGATACCAATTACAGCATGTTCAGAGTAGAACTAGCATACAGCATCCTAGACTGGAGGCGAGGGACAGACTCTATCCAGTAAATGTTTATTTAGACTTTAAACTGCTTCGTCATCTTGGGGACTGTAGTTTGTTTGTTAATGTTGAACTGAATGGTGTTCCTAATGTTTGGTTGTCCATGTGTGAAAAAGTGCATTGTACAATGAAAGAAATAGGAAGTGTACAGTGACTTAGTATCATATGTATTCACAAATGGTCACAAATAATGTTAATCTTTAGTGTAGATACCAGTGCTTTGTTTTATGTGTATGTTCTCAAACATATTATTTCCTATAAAGTAAGGCTCTTCACCCAAAAACACACAAACACACACATGCTCAAAATGCCTTCCAGTAGCAGCCTGCCATCTGCTCCTCCAAAATCAAATCACAGGTCCCAGCCACCCGGTCTACAGCCCCCTCCCACTGACACACACGCACACACACACACACACACACACACACACACACACACACACACACACCACACACACACACACACACACACACACACACACACACAGGCCCCCCACTGGGGCCCTGGCCACCACCGGATAATTAGACTTATAAGCTGGAAGGGAGGGTTAACGTGCAGCTGTCAGGTGTGTTTGTGTTTGTATTCAGGGACATGCATGTGTGAGTGCACAATACGTGTCTGTCCACTCTCCCTCCTCGAATCAAAGATGCTCTTCAGACTGAATGTTAATTGTAGATCTTGGTTATCAGGGCCAGCCGAATCAGCTGCTGCTGTTCAGAGAAACCCCTGTTTTACATCTCAAAGCTGACTGGACAGGCGGAAAATAAGATTCTCCTTTTCTTTACTGTCTAATCGATGCATTCATTCATTTGGGGAGCAGTTATGGGCTCAGAACAGTCTCATAATACACACATGCACACAGAAGGATTCAAACTTGTATTTCCGGATCCACACTTGTGTTTTTCAATGCACACACAAATGTATTCCGTTTCATATACATGTCAATAAAAATCCAAATACAGAAAAAAGTTTTACATATGTATTTTTGATCCTCACTTATTAGTTTCCCGTTTAAATCCCTGCAAACACAAACAGCTTTCTGTGCACGGATCGCTTTGCATTCGTGTGTGGGTTTTTTGAGACTCCCATGACGGTCAGCCGATTCGTACTTGTAATTGTTTCTATCTATAGCCAATCAGATGTCTCCTTCATTCTAAGCCAATCACATGAGCGCGCCCCCACGAGGGTAAGATTACTTCATATACGCATTTTGCGCAGTCCGGTCAGCTCGCTAAACAGAGGGCGGAGCATCAGGTGATCATGCAGAGCAGCGTGTCTCCATCAGACTCAGCAGCTGATCTGATCTCTCTCTCGCGTCCGGTTATTAGGCTACTTCACTCGCGTTTATCATATCGATCAGATCCAGCTCTCCTAATCGGCCTTTATAGAGAGCACCGATCAAACTATTAAGAGTGAATATCGGCCGATAATGACCGGCGGCTCCCCCCCGTTAACAGGTCACTGTCTAGCACTGGCTTCGTAGTGCACTGATCGATTAGGTTAAGCTAACCTGTAGCTGCTCCCTCCACACTCACAACAACTTCATACAGACATAAATAAAGCAGCTGTATTCGCCATACATACATACATTTAAAACGGTGTACACAAGCATTCATCAATGGTTTGGAAGGTGGCGCTGTACCTTAATAATATAAAGGCTTGTATTTGCGTGCATTTCCTGTTCGGAAAGTGGCGCTGTACTGAGAGTGGAGGGTGTCCTGAGATTAGCGCTTGCAGGCAGGCTCCATGGAGCTGTCAGCTCCGGACTGCGCAAAATGCGTACATGAAGCGCTACGTCATGAACGCAAGAAATCTACCCTCGTGGGGGCGCGCTCATGTGATTGGCTTAGAATTGAGGAGACATCTGATTGGCTATAGATAGAAATAATTACAAGTACGAATCGGCTGACCGTCAGGGGAGTCTCAAAAAACCCACACACGAATGCACAGCGATCCGTGCACAGAAAGCGGTTTGTGTTTGCAGGTTCAGAGGTTTTAAACGGAAAACAAATGTGTGGATCAAAAATACATATGTAAAACTTTTTTCTGTATTTGGATTTTATTTACATGTATATGAAACGGAATACATTTGTGTGTGCATTGAAAAACACAAGTGTGGATCCGGAAATACAAGTTTGAATCCTTTTGCGGATCATGAAATACAAGTGTGAATCCTTCTGTGCGCATGTGTGTATTATGACTGAGACTGTTCTGAGCCCATAAGCAGTTAACGGTCCAGAACTTGCTAAATTGTCTTTTTTATTTATGAATAATTTAAGCTCTGTCAATGGAACTGTAGAAAGAAGAAGATAAACAAAAGGAGAAAGTGAACGTATTGAATTGTAAGGAGAGAAATCTTAACCCTTGTCTTTCCTCTCCTCCTCATAGCTGGCCTATCAGGACGTGAGGTGGTTGTGAATGTCACATTGTCACATTTGGAAAGTGAGATAGGACACAGTTTTACTCTTGGATAGATTATCCTGTGTGAGTCCTGAACAGCAGCACTAAGCTGCAGCGACCTG